AACTACTTGTCTATAGTAGAGCTGCTTACATATGTGGTTTTATGTTTTCAAGTAGACATGGTAAAAAATAAATATGCAAATAAAATGTAAAGTTAATTTTAATAATTTATTTTATTTAAATTAATTTTCTAAAATATTATTCAAATATAGTCAATATAAAAATATTAAGATATTTTACATTCTATTTTTATACAAGTCTCCAAAATCCAGTGTACGTTTATGCTTATGGCATGTCTCAATTCAGAGAGTAAATTTTCGTCAGAAATATTTGATCTGTATTTAGATTTCATAAAATTTACATTTAAAAAAATGGATTCACCTACCCAAGTTGTTCCAAACACCTTTTAAAGTTTTCTAATAAACGAATACCAGTTTTTTTATTTAAATTTAAATTAATTTAAGGTAATTAAAATTTAAAATTTTTTTTCTGGATAGCACTAGCCATGTCTCCAATACTCAATAGTTGCATGTTGCTAGTAGCTACTGTGGTGGACAGTGCAGGCCTGTATGATCACGAATCATACGGTTACTACACCACTCATGAAATCTGTAATGCTGGAAAAGCACTGGCATCACTCCTTAAATAAGTCAATGTGAATTAAGTAAATATAGATTAATTTCTCTATGATTATACAATATTATTAAAATCTGAGAAAAACTGAACGCTATTCAGTGGTTTTGAAACCCTGAGAGTTTGGAACTATTAAAGGCCAGCCCTCCACCAATTTATAAAGCCACAGGCATAGCCATTTGTCCTGAACATTCAGACACACAATGTTCTACCTAATAGGAAAATCAATTCAAATATTAACAAGTATGAAGAGAAAAAGGGATGTTGAGTTGACAGGAATTTTTTTCAAAGATATGTTAAAAGAACAATAAAATGCTAAAAGCACAAAGTATTGCAAGTGAAATGAGAATAGCATAAAGAAAAACTAGGAATGAAATTACACATCAAAATGTGAAATAAAATCTTTGATCTACACAGAAGAAAACAGGTTAAAGTAGACAAATATGGCAGTGAATAGAAAGCTGTTATTATGTGGCAATATAAAAACTCTAGAATCACTTGGAAAGCTGGATGCTAGGCACGTGAGAGAGAGAGAAAGAGAGATTTGGAAATAACTACTGTAACTCCTGACAGTTACCATATGTAATAAAATGGAGTTGAAAAGATTTAATGTCAATTTCTAAGTCATTGGCTTCTTAATTATACTATTTCTGTGTGACAGCAGCATGAGCAGTAATTACCACTCTAAAAGGTGGGAGCAAATGCTTCCCAAATGGGATCATGTTGTAATCCTGGTGTGGAAGGAAATTAAAAGAAATTGCCTTTTTCTTTCAGCAGTTTAGAAGTAACTCTAAACTTTACTAAAGCAAGGCTACATATTCGTCTTGAAGATGTATTGTTTAAAGGATATAGAGATATATCAGTACTAAAATCAATGCAACCACGACCCAAAGAACCATCACTAGCATAGGCATTTTAACATCTTTCAGTTTCAGCTCTTTTCTGTCAAACTTTCCTGGTTCTACTTAATGTCTTGAAGCCCAAGGCAAGTTTGGGTTCAGTAGTTATCCCAGACACATCTCAAGCAGCCCCTCTGATGACTAGACTTTGTTGCCCTCCCTCCAACCACAGGCTAGGTGGCCCTCCTATAAACTCTCAGTCTCCACTGTGATACTTATCATGCATTAGTCTAATTTCCTGCTTGCTTATTTATCTCTACCACTGGATTATGAGTGTTTGAGAACACAAACTATATTTTATTTCCTTTTTAATCTTCAGCACCTAAAATGATATCTGGACCATAACAAGACACTCACAGATTTAATGAATTAATGAATTAATAAAAAATCAAATGTAAGTATTTATATCAGTGTTTCTATAACCTAGAAAACATGATAGCAATATGAAAGGCAAGAAGAAAGAATCCTTTTTTCCTTTTAAACAGATATTCTAGAAATTCCCATAAATTAGTTACATTCACAGAGAAACTGAGATACAAAAGATTGAAACTTAGTTGCTTATCTTTCTCCACTATGTCAACAATATAACGATGTCTTTACCAACTATTAAAAAAAAATCTGCATGCTAATTTTCTAATACATATCTTACAATTTGATTTACCATCCTGAACGGAAGATACTACTGAGAATTCACTCATAATTGGCCATTTAATAATTAATGTCTCTTTAAACATTTTGATAGAACATTGTCTTTACTATCAAACATGTACCACGGTTTAAAAACTTAGTTGCTCTAAAAGAGAAAAAACTACAAAACATGATCAACATAAATGTACTGTAGTGAGAATTATGCTATAATATTAACAGTTTCCAAATGTTTTCCAAGAGTCTGAGGCAGTAATGAGAATTTCTTTCAACAAGGCTATAATTTAATTTTTTCCAGAGAAATATTTTTAATAGGATTACTGACCCTTTTAACACACTTGGAAAGAAAATGAATCCCATAAGCATTCTGGTGTATAACTATTATAAAAATAAACAGAACAGTCAATCAGTGGAAATGGTAATGGACTTGAGAAACTAAACTTACTAAAGAAATGTACATAAGTATGCATGGTGATAACCACTTTAACAGAGAAAAGGCTCAGTGTATATCAACAAAACGACTAAACACATTGAGACAAATGAAGGGCCTGGAAAGAAGCAGGGAAAATGGGAATTTTGGAAATACAGCTTTAATGTCTCTCTTAAACAAAACTAACCACATTTACCTTGATCAATTCTGCTGGCTGTCACTCAACTCTTAGGCCTGTCCCTAAGTCCTGGTTTCTCAGAAGGTATTTAAATGTTTCAAGGGAAAAAAGGACACTTACTGATTTAAGAGACATTTTTACACTCACAACTCTTTGTGCTTTAAGAGGAATTTTTTCAGGTCATTAGTTTATAATGTGCACTGGTGCCTAGGGATATTTTGAAAGACAAAAACAAAAAAAACAAAAAAAACTAGTATGCTTGAAGATGCAGTTTATGGGACCTGCATCATCATTTATTTCAGCTCAATTTGGGGCCCAAAACTGAACCCAAAATGGAAGTTATCACATCTACAACAGTTTCTTTCTCAGCATGCAATGATCATACTGGAATTTGAAAACAGAGTAAGACCCCTTTTCACAAAAGTAAATGTATTACAACCCCCTAAATATATCAAAGTCTTTGCAAAAAGTTTTTATTCTTCTAGGGTATAAAAATAAAGTCAGTCTTACAAATGATTTCCAAAATAATATGAATTATCAAAATGTCATTAGCATACCAAAATTCATTAATTCTGCCAATTTTACCCTTGTTTCCACCACCCCACCACAGCCATTCATACTGCTATGTTTAGGTCCAGAAAATGCAAACTAAATCATCGGTCTCAAACAAAGCAGGTATCTTCCTAAACTCAGGTTCATAGACTAAAAGATAATTTAGTCATTCTCAAGATTCATTTGATCTACATATCACGTCCAAACAGATCATTCACAGTCAGTCCCAAAGTTAACTAGCTAGTTCCTAAATTTTTCATCTCCACTAAGTATAAACAAAACCACCACATCTATGTTTTTTGTTTAAGTGTAAACGAAACAGATATCAATTATATTATATCTTGCCTGATAAAAGAAACAGGTTAGAATCACGTTTTCTTTTCATTATAACTACTACACTTCTTTTATATTTATATATTATAACTATAGTTTCATTATAACTACTACTCTTCTTTTACATTTCTTTGGGACACATGAATCATTACTCAAATCATGAAGTCTGGTATTTTAACAGTGTCATGACCTCAGAGATTATGGAACTCCCTGTTCTCGCCCTTGGGTACACATTAGAAACACCAGAGGAGGATTTATAAAATACGAATCCCTTGATCCTAGCTGAGCTTCAGAGTGGGCTCTGATGTCGATACATTCTAAAAGCAAGTCAGGTGAGTCTAATGCGTAGCTAGGTAGAGAACCAATGGTCTCAAAAATGTGGATCAATGACCCAGAAAGGATCAAGGTTGAGAGCAAGCCGATGGCAATCTGAAGCAAAATCCAGAAGGAAGATAACAACTCAAATGCCTAGGGGCCCACTTGAATGAATGAAGCAGCCAATGTAAGCACACATTTTTAGACTGTGTGAGTACCAGAGAGCACGACAAACTAAGGAGCTCACTGGGCAAGAGCTCCTGAGCTCTCGCTGACGTTGCCACGAGGAAGTAACAGATATTCTCACTGGATCCCACCCAAAAAAAAACACAAATCAAGATTTTCATGTAAAATTACCCAACTTTCAAATGTTGGCTCAATTACTAAAACAATAACGCTGGATGAGGGAAACAAATAATGAAAAACACAACATGGGTTTGGCCTCATCTCACCCAGTCTAAAGGGTTGTTTCTGCTCTACAGAAAACAGGAGCAGCAGCAGCAGCATCACAACAACAATACCAATACCTAACACTCAGTAAGTACTTATTATGTATTAGTCACTACACTAAGAGTTTCACATGGATTATCTCAATTAACCTTTCTCAACCTTTGAGAGAAGTACTATTATTATTCCCCTTTTACTCAAAAACTACCTCCGCCCATGATCACATGACCAGTGTGATCCCAGTTTCCAGAAGTGTGCAATGTAATCCATAGTCTATACTATGCTATTTCTCTTTGAAATTTTTTAAAATAGGCTTTTAACAACCTCCACTCTTTGCATTTGGCTTTCTTAAAAAATAAAAGGATTATACTAAATGATTTCTCAAGTCATTTTTAGTTATCAAATTCTGTGGCTCTGACACCATCACACAACTCTTGGATGTATGAAGACTAGTATTCATATCATCAATAACATTAGGGCACTGGTCACGAGTGCCCTAGTAAGAATTACCTGATAAACGAATGGAATGAATGTTCACTAAATAGTCTTTCTTAAGAGGCAGCAAAAACATAAACTTATAATAAAATTATTTATCTCTATTGCTGCAGAAAGTTTACTTCTCCATTTTACCTTGTGAATGATGAGCAAAAGTGTTCAGAAATTCTTCATCATTTGTTTGCTCATGACAATTAAGGAATTTATCCAAGACTTCTTTGATTAACTGATCTTCATTCATTATTTCCAATCCTGACACATGGGCAGACATTTCTATTCACGAGGCCACAGTATCTGCAAGACAGAAAAATACCAGCTAGCGAGCAACAGGCAATACCAGCCCCTTTGAAAATGTTCTGGATGGGTAGGTTGAAAAATCCCAAGGCTCCAAAAGAAAGATCAAGATAGTTACTAGAGCAACGACCTCTAGTTCAAGAGATCAGAATTTTATTCATATCTTTGCTGCTGAATTGTTAATTATCACAATTTTATTTTTTTGCTTCAGTCTTCTCATTACTGTCTTCTTAATTCATAAGAATTTTTTTACCCAATTACACAATTAGAAATTCAAAGTCTTTCAAGGTAGGAGGAACTTTAAAGAGTACTCAACTAACCACCCATCCAATGACAATAGCTTAGTGACTTATTTAGCAGTTACTGTGTACCAGGTGCTGTTCTGAGTAATTTTTTTTGTTAATTATCATAACAGTCCTAGATAAGGTCACAGAGTCAATACGGAGAAGTGCCAGCTCAAGAAGTCTGATCCTAGAAACCATGCCTTTAAACACTTCACTATCCATCACTCTATTCACTGGGTGACCTGCCCTCCCCCCACCGGCCCCCGCCTTCCCTACTATCGCTGACAAAAGTTGACTTGCCCGTGCATCAACACATCCAGGGACTGGTAACTCTGAACATTCCAAAAAAGCCTTTGCACAGCTCTGTTAAAAACTTTTAAAATTAAGCCTAAATCTGTCTCCCTGAACCCTACCCCAACTGGTTTCTGAGCCCCCAACGTTGTACTGAAAAATTTCCGTCTTTCTTATACATGACATCTTTTCAAATATTTGAACAAGGTTATACTGTCCTTTGTCAATCTTCTGATTTCATTCACTGAAACAAATTTATTTTTCAAAACCCAGCTCAGAATTCCGTTTCTCTCTGAAGACTTATCCTTCCATCTCCCACTACTGCAGGAAGAGTTAATCTTAATTTATCTGTGTTCATTCTGTACTAGGGTCTACTGTTAAATTTATCATGCCATATTGGAAATAGTTGTGTACATTTCTGTGTTCTCTACTAGACTCAGAGACATGAAAGACAGAATCCACATCTCTTCATCTTTGTATCCCAAATGCTTGATAACTCGAGATGTGGCATAGAGCTGGCAGTCAATCAATATTGAGCTAACATTACTCATTTGAGCAGGTACAACAGTCAAGTATTGCTAGAAGCTGGCAAAACACTAAACTATACTTGCTCAATTATTTCACCTGTACCCTATATGACATGGTTTCGAGTCCTTAAATCCTCCTGGTCAATCCATCTGGAAAAAGTTTCACACTGACTGTACCTCTTTGTATATACCATCCACAACTGAACACAAGACTCCAGACATGATGAGATTAGACTAACTCACATTCTCAATATTCCACTCATGCTATACAGCTAGAGCTCACATTTACACTGGTAGTGGCCATTCCACATTGTCATTCATTTAGCACAGTGCTAACCAAACACCTGTCAGCTGAGACGCAATGCCTCAATACAAGCACAGTTTGGACTTCGTTTTCACTTACGATATTTCATCTTGTTAAACTCCATTCATTCTGTATAAAGTATTCTTCTTACATAGCTTTGAGAAAATTATCTACAGAAAGCAGATATGTAATTACTGCCTAAGTAGCCACTATACTACATGGGGGACCATAAAAAGTAGGGGTTTCTCCAATACTGTAAGGAAGGGAGAGCACCAAGCTTCCTTCTATCTGAAACAAGAGTACACAACTGTTAATTTTTTCTCCCACTTTTCCTTTATACATTTATCATTTTAAAAATATGAAGAGCACGTGTATGATATAGAAACCTTTAAGTATCTCCTGACTCTGCCAATTCCCAACCATCAGAGGTAAATGCTGTCAAGAGTCTAAAGAATGTACTTCTACATCTTTCCCTATAATGTTTATAGAGAATAATAGACTTTTTCTAAAAGTGGAACCATATTATATGTCATTCTTTACAGCTTTAATTTAATAAGTTATCATGGACATATCACCACTTTAGTATATGCAGATCTAGCCTATTCTGTCAAACAGCTATATAGTCACAGCCCAGCTCTGCCACTCACTGTGTAGCACTGGGCAAGTTACCTGACCTCTCTGGGTCTCTGTTTCCCCGTATCTATAAAAAGGGATTATATCCCAGCACTTTGGGAGGCCGAGGCAGGTGGATCACCTGAGTTTGGAAGTTCGAGACCAGCCTGAACAACCTGGAGAAACCCCATCTCCACTAAAAACACAAAATTAGCCAGGCATGGTAGCACATGCCTGTAATCCCAGCTACTCAGGAGGCTGAGGCAGGAGAATCGCTTGAACCCAGGAGGCAGAGGTTGTGGTGAGCCCAGATCGCACCATTGCACTCCATCCTAGGCAACAAGAGCAAAACCCCGTCTCAAAAATAAATAAATAAATAAATAAATAAAAGGGATTACAACTGTACAGGTCTGTATTTCCTTAACCTCAATTCCAAAATACCAAAAAGCTCAGGAAAAAAAAAATTTCATAAGACAATGCCCAAATGCATTTGGGGGCAAGACCTGGTTGAATTAACATGAGAGTACTTACGGCTTTTATTCTACTCAACGTTACTATTCATATATTTCCCTGTAGAAATACCAGTGTGCTTGCATATAAGGTGCTTTCCCAGAACCAGCCTAGAGATTTTGTATAATATATGACACATGCACTGATTACCTTTCTAAACTCCAAAAAGTTCTGAATTCTGAAGCACATCTGACCCTGAGGGTTTAAATAAAGAATCGTGAAGCTACACATGCCTCACAAGATTACTATGAAAATTAAATGAGTACGCATGGCATCTCAAAAAATGTTAGCCAGGATGATGATGATGATGGATCAGTCTTAGGATTCTGTCCTTTGCCTACACAAAGACCCGTTATAACTGTGCCCACTCAACTCTGAAGGCAGTGATGCTATCTAAAGATAAATCAAGATAATTCCACATGTATTACAACCCCAGATAAAGCATGGAGTTGTAGAGGACTGAGTAAAAATTAAAAGTGTAGCTGGGTACCAACTTAAAACAAAAGAAACCGTTTCAAGCTATTTGTACCTAAAAAAGTTAGATATATGAAAAAGCATTGGTTATGGCTTATGCACATTTACTTGTAACACTGCCAAGGCTTTAGCCATGCAAAGCTGAATAAATTGTGTTTGCAGTAGCTAGACAGTAAATAATGATAAGTAAACTCAAAAGTGGCTATTATTTCACTACATTAGCATGTATACTTCATTACAAGAATTTCAATGTCAATCTGCTTTTCCAGAATTGGAGCCTAGAAAAATTTCAACAGTTTATCAATCTCTTCTTTAAAATCATCTTTGGTAAGTTACTTCAGCAAACAAATACCAAAGAGATGCAGCCAGGTTGTGGTTTCCATTCCTTTCAATGTCTTCTCATAATGCTTTAGGAGTGTTAACAGAAATTCCTTTAAACTTCTTTTCCACTTCTCAAATTGGCATATTTTGAGTATTACTCAACACATCTCAGTAGTGCTAAAAGCAAACAATTAACAGATTGTGCCAGCACAAATTCAAAATCCTTCTAGGCCTTTAATTTTATTTGTGTGGTTATCCCAATATAGAGATTACATGCTTTTATTGACTATTTTATTTATTTATTTATTTATTTATTTATTTATTTATTTTGAGACAAAGTCTCACTCTTGATGCCCTGGCTGAAGTGCAGTGGCGCGATCTTGGCTCACTGCAACCTCTGCCTCCCAGGTTCAAGCAATTCTCCTGCCTCAGCCTCCCGAGTCACCAGGATTACCAGGCGCCCCCCTACTATGGCTGGCTAATTTTTTTTGTATTTTTAGTAGAGACAGGATTTCGCCATGTTGGGCAAACTGGTCTCGAACTTCTGACCTCAGGTGATCCGCCTGCCTCGGCCTCCCAAAGTGCTGGGATTACAGGCGTGAGCCACCATGCCCGGTCTTATTGACTTCTTAAAGGACTTCTGGAATATCCAGTTTCACAAACTGTCATTATTAGAAGAGTTTAACAATACCCATCTTCAAATTTAGAACTTGCCTTTTCTACAAAAATACAAACCTAGTATTAAAAGTCCCCAGGGACTGACAGAACAGATAATCACTTATCAGACAGCCAAGTGGTTTATGCAAATCCTAGTGGTTTTCTAAAAGGAAGCAATGCATTTTCAATTACCATTCACATACTTTTGTGTTTTTATCATGAAGTATTTTTCTAAAAGAAAAAGTGGGGGGGAGAGAGATCGAGAGACACTTGCCTGGATAAGAGAATTCTTTGTTTTGGTTTGGTTTTTATGTTTTAAGGCTTTGAGCTCCACATGAAAGACTCAAAACGTCTTGAGATAGTAAATGTGTATAAATATCTGCTGGTAAATCACAAGCAACACTTTCACAGTCACGGCCCCCAGAAGCAAATACAGGGAGCATGCACTGCTCCTTGGACTATTACACTTCACTTGAAAACCACAGGCCTGGTAAGGAATAGGGTTCACTTTTTACCAAGTCACTGAGAGACAGAAAAATCATATAACCTCCCTAAAGTCTTGTTTTCTGCTATCAAATAATGAAGCTAACAACCACTTAAGCTAGTTAATGTTATGTGCTCTCTGAAAGAACATTATTATGAAATATGGTATATGAAATTGTCAGCACTGATTCAGCACATCTTTGATGTTCACCTTCAGATACTTGTTAATGAACTTACTCAAACAAAATGCAACTTTCAGACACAATAGTCGACCTAAAGAAGTAAATCACCACGAGCTTGCTTCTCTGAAAGTGCATACCGTACTTTTTAACAGCACTAGGGTTATATGTCTGCAAAAAAAAAGTGTGGGGCAGTGGTTCAAAACTCTGAGAGTCATGCAGGTCTATGAAAGCCCACTTACTCAAAATTGTATTCTTCTGCTCAGTAACAATCTACTGCTATACCGAAAGGTAAGATGGGATATCATAAAAATATTATCACTTTGCCTAAGGAAATAAAATCATCAACATTTGTACT